CTCCTCCTCCTCCTCCTCCTCCTCCTCCTCCTCCTCCTTCTCTTCCTCCTCCTCCTGCTACGTGCAGGGCTGGGCTGGGGCACCAGCAGCAGCAATTAGCCCAGCTCAGCCGCCCGTTACTGGAACCTGCATGTCAACTCTGGAGCTGATCCAGGAAACCACACCCAGTGTCCTGCATGACTCAACCTCACCTGCCCCCTCCACACCTGCCAGCCTTAGTGATCCAGTCCACAGTGCCAGGGAAAAGTCCCAGCATCCTTTGGTCAATCCTCATCTACTCCATGTGTTTGTAAGGCAAGCCGGGATTTAGAGTCTTTGTATCACAGACTTGATTCTGGACTCATTTCTAGCCAGAAGAGAAGACTCATTTCTGCCTGGAACGTTCCAGGCAGAGCAAATGCTAGGGATTGGAAAACTAGACCCTCTATGGCAAATGCAAGCAGATATACCTCCTCTTCACTATCATCACTTGAAATGTGAGCAGCTTAAGGCCATGGGAGATATTATTTTTCATGCATCAAATTGGCAAAGACTTTAAAAATGCCCCTGATGTCTAGAGCTGGTGAGGATATGAAGAAACTCCAACTTGACATAAACCACTGGTCAAGGTGTGAATGGAGAGACATTTCCTTTTTTTTTTTTTTTTTTTGAGATGGAGTCTTGCTCTGTCGCCCAGGCTGGAGTGGAGTGCAGTGATGCAATCTCAACTTACTACAGCCTCTGCCTTCCAGGTTCAAGCAATGCTCCTGCCTCTGCCCTTGAGTAGCTGGGATTACAGGCACACCACCATGATGGTCGATTATTTTTTTCTTTTTTTTCTGAGACAGAGTCTCACTCTGTCACCCAGGTTACAGTGCAATGGCTTGGTCTCAGCCCACTGCACCCTCTGCCTCCCAGGTTTAAGCGATTCTCCTGCCTCAGCCTTCAGAGTAGCTGGGACTAAAGGTGCGTGCCACCACACCCGGCTAATTTTTGTATTTTTAGTAGAGATGGAGTTTCACTATGTTGGTCAGGCTGGTCATGAACTCCTGCCCTTGTAATCCACCCGACTTGGCTTCCCAAAGTGCTGGGATTACAGGCATGAGCCACTGCACCTGGCCTGGATAATTTTTATATTTTTAGTGGAGAAGAGGGTTTCACCATGTTGGCCGGACTGTTCTCAAACTTCTGACCCCAGGTGACCTGCCTACCTCAGCCTCCCAAAGTGCTAGGGTTATAGGTATGAGCCACCATGCCTGGCCGAGAAACACTTTCTTTCTTTTTAACTTTTATTTTTATATATATATATTTTTTGGGGACAGAGTTTCGCTCTTGTTACCCAGGCTGGAGTGCAATGGCGCCATCTCGGCTCACCGCAACCTCCGCCTCCTGGGTTCAAGCAGTTCTCCTGCCTCAGCCTCCTGAGTAGCTGGGATTACAGGCACGCGCCACCATGCCCAGCTAATTTTTTGTATTTTTAGTAGAGACGGGGTTTCACCATGTTGACCAGGATGGTCTCGATCTCTTGACCTCGTGATCCACCCGCCTCGGCCTCCCAAAGTGCTGGGATTACATGCTTGAGCCACCACGCCCGGCCTATTTTTATATATTTTTAAACAATTTTTTTTTTTTGAAATAGGTTCTTACGCTATCACCCAGGCTGGAGGGTAGTGGCATGAACATGGGTCACTGCAACTGTGAGCACCCCCCCCCAGGGCCCAAGTGGCCCTCCCACCTTAGCCTCCCAAGTGGTCAGGACCACAGGCATGTGCCACCACACCCAGGTAATTTTAAAATTATATATATATGTGTATATATATATATATATATATATATATATATGTGTGTGTGTGTGTGTGTGTGTGTGTGTATATATATACCCAGCTAATTTTTTGTGTTTTTGGTAGAAGCAGGGTTTTGGCATGTTGCCCAGGCTGGTCTTAAACTCCTGAGCTCAGGAAATCCACTGGCTTTGGCTTCCCAAAGTGCTGGGATTACAGTCATGAGTCACCAAGCCTGGCCAGATGCTGGACATCTTATGTAGAACAGAAGCTATTTAATTTCTAGTGACTTATTCTCCAGATATACTTTCATATTGGTACAAGGATAGTCACTGCAGTATTTTTCAGAAAATATTTATTTGTATTGGGATATGAATTAAAAAAATAAGTCATTTGGCCAGGTGTGGTGTCTCATGACTGTAATCCCAGCACTTTGGGAGGCCGAGGTGGAGGATTACTTGAGGCCAGAAGTTTGAGACC